AGCCCACGATATATCGATCACAACTTTACAACCAGACATGCACAGAAGCATTGACATAAAGTAACTATCCGTGCTCTCCAAATAACCTTGAATTATAGTTCTCCTTGTGAGGGACGTCACGTACGCACTTTAACGTCGAATCGTGGCATGTACATCAGTCACATCGTACAAAGACGAGTGAATTGCTTATAGACGCCAGCTAGCTTTTTAGATTCTATTTTTTTTTTCTTAAAAAAGCTTCGGATAGTACTAACATGCAGTGCACTGGTTTGTATTTTGTATTTCAAAAAAATTGACTAACCGACAAAATTTTTTGGCATTCGAAAGATGTTAATGTAAGTATTTTTTGTTCCAATAGGTGATGGCTATTAAAACAAATGCAGATAGTGTAAAAAGTGCCCCCGGGCCGGACTACAATTAGAATTTCATGGCTAAAATGAGTTGCCAAATGCCACGGATTTAATGGCTCACGACCAAACGAACGTAATCAGAGATTTTTTGCCTGCTTGGTAACAGGAAATTTTCCAAACCTATAAAAATAGCCCGCCAAAATCCGAGAGGAAACGAAGCATTAGTCAGTTTCCCAAGTCAAACATTATTTGAAACTGACATATCTGTCGGGGTAAATATGCGCTTATCTGTTTACCAAGTCTGTGAAGTAGAACTGTGTCAACATTTCGTGGGAGGGATACTTTGTACACGCGCGTGTTCCCGGAATCTTGAGGGACCCCTATTCAAACAGATTAAATTTGCGGACCATCCACCTTTCAGTATTTCCCTCTATTATCTCCTCACGCTGTTTCCGGGAAATTTTCATCCCAGCGGTCTACTGATCACGTACACAGCATCTGCGTTCTGCTATGGGATTTTTTAAACTGCCTCAACAGCTTTATACGTGACTTTTTCCAATATCTACCACCTTCGCATGACCTGTCTCTAGGCATTGTACTTTTGCGTGACTCTTAAGAACCATTGTGTGCGGGAAAGTCTAGTTCGCGTGACTTTTAACTCTCCGTAATAAGCTGCGCGTGACTTTTTCCTATCCTTAAGCTATTTCCTTCTGCACAGACGCTTTTTGGAACATTAGTAAATGTTATCCCCACTAGCTTGATTGCAATACTCTAATGTGCAATATCTACAATTTGAACACAAAGGGTAGAAATGCTCTGCCTTAAATAAAGAGAATTAAAATTTTTTTGGCAAAGCTTATCTTTTCATAAAGTCATGTCTGAGCTTGCGCTCAACAAAATTACTTGGCAACTGACGATATCAAAGATATTGATACCATGGGGACAAATTTCGGTATTATGAATCTAAAAGTCCAATGTCAAGGCAATAAATTTTTAAAACCCTGCAGCGTGATTAGGCCTTTCCAGATTCTGCTCCGAAAAAGCCTAAAAGTTGCTAAGAAATATGCAAAAAAGTTGCTCAAAAGCTGCTCAAAATTGAAAAAGTTGTTCAAAAATTTTGAAAAGTTGCTCGAATATTTTTAAGACAGCATGTCTAATTTTAATAACAATTGCTTTGTAATCAACATTAAGGTTCACACGGCATCCGGGTAAATTTTCCACCGATATGTACAGTAGAAATTTATGCTTTTGGAGATCCCCCCATGTTAGGGAATCCGTATTCCAGAATCTGGGAAATTTTTGCTGTCGGAATCCGGAATCGGGGAAAATAGGAATCCTGAGCTTTGGAATCCAGAATACAGCTCAAGGAATCCGGAATCCCCTTCACGATTGGAATCCAGAATCCAAGTTCTACTGACAAAGACTGGCGTCCAGTACCTGCAATCCCGAATCCACTGCATGGAATCCAGAATCCAAGACTGTCCTGGATTCCGTTACGGGGCGAGTTTAGGTCTTTGTCCACACGGAACCACCTTAACCCCGTGGGGCTCGGCCAATATTTGGGTATGGGTGGGTGCTTTCCATTTAGTCAAAATTTCCGGAATTTCCGGTTCGGCGGTAAATGGAACACGTTTCGTCGGTTCGTCCCACTGGAAAATTCCCAGAAAAAGTGGAAAATCTAAAAAGGTGGTCCCGTTTTCCCGGTTGGTATTTCCGAACGGAATGTCGTGTTCCATTTACGTTTCTCGTAGTTTGTACCATTTCCAGGTCCACGGTCGGGCACCCGGCCACGTACCGGGGTTTACGACCAAATGGAACAACTTTTTACCAATCGGAAATTCCACTTTTGCTACCACCGAAATTTCCGGTTTTTTTCGTAAATGGAAAGCGCCCGGTGAGCCACGAGGGTTTGAAACCCTGACCCTATTTAGGACAAAAAATTCCTAAAATACATATCCTGTTTAGGAAGACATCCTCAATTTTAGTACCCTGTTTAGGACAACTCCCTCAATTTTATTACTAGAACAGACTCACACACTATGCACACTGTTTAGGATAGACTTGCGCGAAATTTTATACCCTGATTAGGACAGACTCGTGCGAAATTATATGGCCTGTTTAGTACCGAGAGGACGAAAGCCATACCCGGTCCAGCGGCACATCCCCGTATAGGCCATATAAGGGAGTACCCCCCCTCCCCGGGCCTTAACCATACAAACAAAATTAAACGCCTATCTTCAAAGTTCCCGTGTGAACATAGCCATCGTAGCCCTAGTAACTTACTGCTTCAAGATAATAAGTCAATAATAACGTAAACTAAGGCTTGACAAACCACTGCAAAAACCGTGAACGATCAATGTAGCTGAACGTTGGATCAAACTTAAGCAGGATCGTGGGGGGCAGTCGGAATTGCGAAAAGATAAAAATAGAATTAAAGTCCGAAAGACTCCTGCGAAGACTGATCAAACAATGTGAAAAAGGCTGAGGTATACACCGATATTTCGACTGACCAATACCAGTCTTGATCAGGTCATTTATTAGGAAAAACCACGAATATACAGAATCTATACATTGAAAAATAATAAAAGGAAGATACATGGTATTACGTGGTAAGGTGTGGCTTCTGAGAAAAATAAACCGAAAAATAGATAAAGATTACATAATGATTATTGTTACGTTGTTTCGTCACGTTTCTTCATTCCCAGAGGCTCGAATCATTGTGCAATCTTTATCTTTTCACGTTGTTTGATCGGTCTTTGCAGTAGTCTTTTTGACTTCAATTCTAATTCAATAAAAGTTGAGCGGCTGGGAGAACTTAGATGCATAGTTTCCAGTAAGCAAGGTTATACAACCTCAGCTCTCGAAACTACTTGTTTTTCTTCTGACAATGCAAAATTAAACATGATATCATTTACAGAGGCTGAAAGCGTGAGGTATCAACATATCAAAAGTGATGTAATTTTTGTGGTTCAGAAGACCTCAGTTTCAAGACTGTTTCGAAAAGCACGAGTTTCGTATTTTGCCAATCTAATAAAAACAAAAACAATAGACTCTTGGTTTATTTTAGACGTAAAAATACAATGTTTCTATTAGACCAGCAAAATAACAAACTCATGGTGAACGAAAAAGTGTTGAAAAATCAGGTTTTTTTGACGTCTGAGCCGTAAAATTATACTTGAATGTAAAAATATCTACTTCAAAGTCTTTTTAAAGCATTTTATTTGCAAAATATGAGGAATTTGACCGAAAGATACTTGCCCTTCTATCTTGGAAAAATATAATCGTTTAGATTCAATTTTCGCAAATAAAAACAGGAAACAAAAAAAAACATACCCGGAAATATCCTGCCGATCTGAATAAATCCTTGCTTCATCGGTGAAAATAAACTCGTTCGTTCTTGGCAATAAAAGCTAATGAGGAGAATTTCTGTAATTAAGTGAATAATTACGTCCTGGCTTGTGGATTGTTTTTTTATTATTATTTTGGCAACTTTGTTTTAAGATTGAAGAAGATGCTGTTAATTACACGTCGCCTACTTGTCGGTATGGCGTATTTATGGGGTCATTTTTTTTTAAATTCTTGGCAAGCTGATAAGCGTGTGGTTGTCCTGTGGTGACCGACCACAGAGAGTGAACCTGCGTGCGCTGCCGATATGATTGAAAATTTTTTCCCGATGCGTGCTTTCCATCCCTTTGGTTCAATTTCAAGCTCTGCTGGGTCATAACTATATTTGTCAGCTGGATTTCAATAGACGAGCACTCTTTCGTGTTTTAAGAAAGTCTTATTTTGTAGCTGACGCATGGCTGAAACGCTCTGTAATATATGTCTTGACGTGAGTTGGGTCTAAGCACCATTGGTAAACAAACTTTGTACGTGAGCAGAAAACGGAATAGCGACTATGCCACTACATCTTATCATCCAGTAATTCTCAAATTCATTTTTAATTTACAAGGAAATAATTGCTTAATCGGAGCATTTGGAAATCAAAAGAAAATTTTGCATCCTTGATCTCTAATGTAAATGATTTTGTTTGAGAAGTAACATTCAACATTCGACACAGTTTTGATTTTATCACAATATCAAACACCTCGAAGTCAGTCAAATATTCCACTGTGCGTCGTACCATATCGCATTTTCGACTCTCTCAGTTGTTTTGATCTTTCCCGGAAACTTTCTTTCCGGCACAGGGTTTCATATATCACCGAGTATTACATAATCACTTGTGTATCGGTCTAATCAAAGCTTTATAATTCCCTCTCCTTTTTTCCGGGCATTTGACACGAGCTGATTTGATTTTTCCGAAGACTTTGATTAGCAGCTTTGATTTGCTCCTAAGGAATTTGTATAGGTAATGGCATGATTAGTAGTGATATTTGGCATAAATACCACGAGTCGAGTGATATTTCAAAATTGTTATACGTAATTTCACGAACCGTTAGGCGAGTGAAATTTGAGACAATTTTGAAATATCACGAGTATTATTTATGCCAAATATCAGGTACAAATCATGCTGTTATTTGTTTATACTACTACCCGCAAGAGGTTTGTAATTTTCACATGTAGGTATTTCAAATTAAGCTGAAATACCACTGCTCTAAGCCAATCAAATTGCAGAAATTTCTCATGTAGTAGTATAAAGAGATTAACTTCCTAGCGGTCTTCCTTGGACCCCCTACATCGCTCGTCATTTTGGGCTTTGGAACTCGGAATACAGCTCAAGGGATCTGGAATTCCACTAACGATTAGAATCTGGAATCCAAGTTCCTTTCTGAAAAAGACTAATTTTTTAGACTGGAATCCAGTGCCTTGAATCCGTAATCCACGGCGGAATCCAGAATCTCTAAGGGTGCGTTCCTTTGGGATGATCTGGATCAGGATCAGTGATCCGAGATTACTTGGATCATGGTAGACCCAAATGAACCGATGAATCCTTGTCCACAGTGGATTCATCGGTTCATTTGATCTACCATGATCCAAGTGATGACGGATCACTGATCCTGATCATCTCAAAGGAACGCACCCTAAGACTGTCTTGGATTCTCTTCCATGGGGCGAGCATATGATGAATCAATGGATTATCACTGAGCTATAAGGAAGACAAACAAATGGATTGCATATTAAAGCAAGTTGTGTTTTAATTTGCTCGGGAAACATATCTACCTATAAAGTTAAAATTGGATTCTTTCAAGAAAAGTACAATTTGGGTACCTGTGCATCAAGCCTCTTCTTCCGCCATCTTCAACGTTCACCCATCCCATCTGATGATGAACTTCGGGCCTCAGTTTGGTCTAAAAATAAGTGGGGAGGGGGGGGGCGAGCTCCTCTCCTGGGTGGTGGGGGGGCCCGCGGGCCACCCGAGCTTCTCCCCTGGATCCGCCACTGTGAATCCCCCGTTGTCTACTCCCACTTAAGATTTTGAAGGTTAAAGGTTAAAGCTCCAAAACGGGCAATCGGTAAAAGAGAACAAAGCAGAATCAGAAACAAAGTCATCATAAAAAACAGCATTCTTATTATTTTGATTCATGTAATTTTCTTGTGAATTTCAACTTACATCGAGTCCTGCCTAACGTGATTAAATCAGCAGTTTGCAGCATACGTGCACGTGGGTATAGTAGTCGTAATTGTCCGTCCGACTTCAGTACGTTTATTGCTTTTAGACTTAAAAACAGTAAAAAATTCCAGCGAGTCACACCGAGCAATGCGACGGTTTTACGCTGTTTTAGCCTGTGTTCTTACTGCTCGTATTTTCTCTGTTATTCTCCTCCTACACGTATGCAAGCAGGCTATGCATTCACCTTTTAGTCTTTATATTGATAACGTTTTGGATTGCGAAACAACCCTATAAAGCATGGAAATCTCCGTATTTTTACTGCATTAATACGAGCTAGTCTTTCTCCAGGAAGAGAATAAGAAAAGCATTGCCAAGTCGCTGGGACGCAAGGCTAGCTGTGAAGATACACCCTACTAATCAGTAAGATCACTTTCCTGTTCAGTGAATTATCTTGTTATCCCTGTATGTAAAATGATCAAAAGGCTAGTTCTGATAGAAAAAAAAAGATTTATACAAACTTGCTATCTTGCCTCGTTAAGTCATTGTTTTAGTCTGTTAGAAGGTCGTCATTTTTTTAGCACGTGCTTTCACTTACTCTGCACGCATTGAGGACCGTTTTATTTTTCCCGCGAAAACTAGTGCCGCGAGGAATCTGGGAACGAGCATCCAATGTTGTCACATTCAAAGTCAATATCGAGTTTAAGCATCGACGTTTTTTGAGAGACGTTCTTTAACCAGATGTAAGCCTTTTTCTTGTTAATATGCCTTGACGCCGCCAAATTTGTATTGCTAAGTGTGTTTACTCTTAAAGAGACGATTTGCGCCAAAATTTGTTCAAAATCACGGCTGAAGAGTACAAAAGTCCATTTCCGGTTGACGTACGTCGCTCAAAAACGTGGCTGCTGAAGATTCTCCTGAAAATAATGCCAAAAAATGGAATTTATTCACCTCCCATGAAGGTAATTTCCAACACCATTATGTTTGTTTATTCTCTTGGGCGGCGCCTTCATCAAAATTGAGCGCGGGTGTCAAACGCAATGCAATAGCGCAATTATTTCGATGAAACCACCCCATTACTGGAAAAGTTCAGAAGGTATCTACAATAGTTGCGTTTTCCTACGCCGATTAACAGCAATTGGCACACGTACATTAACCCACGGCCTGACCAGTGCCTAACGCATGTGCAAAGCCATATCACCTGGGTGTTGGCAGACAGCTGTTTCGACCCAGGGGCGTCGTCACGCAACGCTCCTTAGTGGGGAGGAGCGTTGCGTGACGACACTAAAAACGGCTGTGTAGCAGACTATCCTTATTAGGGATCATCAAAATATGAAATATCATCAAGTCCACAGCGAGAAACCAATCAGCATGATATAACCGTCTCACCAGTGAACCGCGGACTCTAGCTCCTGGAATAGTTTCCATGTCAAGAGCCTGCCTATTTTACTTAAAGGCTCGCAATTGCAAGGGTTGTGGATTACTTTCACATTGAAAATCTTGCTTCGATTCCTAGGCATGCGCGAACCATATTTTGCGTTCCCATAAGCCCATATGGGTTTCAGCACTCACATTCCTCATGTGCTGGTTTCATTACTCAGTTGAAGTACTCGTCACTGTTAGAACTTATATTTACTATTTATCTCCCTCATAAATCGCGAAAGCTAATGAACAAGAAATAGGCATGAAAATGTTTATTTTCCTGATTCCATTTAGTGCGTTTTACGAGTGTTCTAGAAACGCGAAACGAGTACTGGAAAATCCCGCGCGCGAGACACACGCGCCAATCGAGAGACTGGGTTCTAAACGAAACCAATATGGCGGCGGATTATTGACCCGACAGAACATGTGTGTAGTAAATTGGATCTAAAGTAACAGAATTGGACATCTGGACCTCGGATTTGAGCTTCAGCCGTTCTTTTTCCTACTCGTCAACGCTTGGCTTTATTCATCATCTAAAAATTATCGCACGTGGCAGGGCAGAAGTGAAAAATCTGGCACGGGTCTTGTGAGGTAAGCTTATGTTTGGTTAGCTTAACTTAACTTAAGCTTAAATTTAAGATTTTTTCGCAGGAAACTATGGTCTCATAAGCAAGTAATACTGGTAATGGTAATTAAAGGATTAAGCTTGTGGCTTAAATCATCGATCAAGTAAATCCAGGAGATCTAGTACATATTAAGGTCAAACATGAAATTTGTCAGGTACAGGATACACGTCACAGGTCACAGGTCATGATCGCAAGTGCAGGTCATTGCTCTGTTGATAAATAACTGAACTACATGACTGAAATAAGCTAAAACTCTATTTCGGATTTTGATTCCTCATGGAGAGAGACAGAGTGGCAGGGTATTCAGCAGTTGCTCCAGAGTTTATATTTATGTTGTTGACCTTTGTGTCAGTTGTGAAATATTTATGTGCATGGATCGTCTAGTGAGGCAGAAACACGAGTCGGCTTTGGATGGTACATGTAGTTGCAGTGATGTCATTGATTGTGATGTCGAGCTGCATTAAGGTTTCCAAGCAACATAACTTCCACTGGGTGCAATGAAAGGCTGATACGTTTACTTCCTGAAAAGATGCGCATTAGTTTAAAACACTTGTTTTTAATAATCCTCTGACTCTCTAGGAATACAAGCTCGGTTATAGAGGAACAGGTGCTCGAGTGCATACACTGAACGTGCGCCAAGTTGATTATGTAATACTTCCTCTGTGAGAAAATGATTGTTTAAAATGTTTACAGCTGGTTAATCGCAACCAGTTCTCCTCATGCAAATGTAGGAAATTCAACTCTACAAGGCCACCAATAAGAGACTTTGCAGCAGTTTATGAGAAACTTATCAGCTGTCGGCCATAATAGATGCTTCACATGGGATGAAAGGAGTTAAAGTAGGGCTTTAACCATCAAACCCCTGCTTAGTTTCTTTGTATATATCTTTGAATCCTTGATAAATACAGCTCCACCAGCTTCAGACAGCATTTACTGGCAGATTTTCACGGGCAAAATGCTTTAAATTAGTAATTTTCCTTGCCTAATTAATATTTGGTTACGTGGCACACGAGATAGCCTCCGTAGCAAGCGTTTCCATGTGGTTTAGGAGCAAAGAATGAGGAACTAGAGTAAATTAAAGACCGGACAAAAAATGGCACAAGTAAGAGAGCGGGGAGGGGGTGGGGATGAAAGGAAGGAAACTCTTGCAGACAAACCCCAGGATTTTGAAAACCACCCATTTGGCCTGTCATGCTTGAGTTTGCACACCGACATTTGATGCTGTCATCAGCTGTCGAAATGGACCAATAAAATGTTTGGGCTTCTGTAGAGCAGAAAATAATGAACTTTAGAGGATGCATGTGTGAAACCAAAATTATTTTTTGTATTTTGGGACGCATGGACGGCATTAATGTTGAAGTCTCAATGAATCCAAACGATCAATGCATAAGCTGTACAAGGTCAAAGCTCTACCAGACAGAACAGCTCACTGTTCTCGCCACGGTACAGACAACTAGATTTGCTCTTGTAAAAGCATCTAAGAACAAAGCTAACCCAGTGACTGATGAAGTTTGCGTGGAGAACCGAAACCATGGTCTTGCCTGATTAGAAAGGGCGATAACAGAACAGTCACAATTCAAAAGTTATTACCAATCAATCATTGCTTAATTAGCAGTCTCTACTGAGTCACAATGCAGTTCTCCATAGTTGACGTAACTTCAGTTTAAGGTGCAATCCATTCTTCGAAATTTGGATCTGAAATCACTATCCGAGAGAATTTAACATCCTGAAAAAAAAAAACACTAACGAGCTGGACCCAGCATGACAAAACTTTGCAGGAAACCATCACATTCGCTGACAAAAGAAAATCGCTTTTAGTTATTCAGATCAAGGAGGCACTTAAGAGAATAAATTAAATGACCTGAAACCCTTATTTAGTCGCAAGAAAAGCTTTACATTTCAAAAGAGGTCAATGAAAATGCTCTTGCATTGGAGGGCAAATCTTGCCGACCACGTACCATCCATGACTTCTCAGTATGAAACAAACCTTTGATCGACACATGTCAATATTGTTCAACTAGCCAAGCCAATCAGGCACTGTGTTCGCTGGTGAATGCAGGTTTTCAAAATCGAGGGGTTTGTCTGCAAGCATTTCCTTCCTTCCCCTCCCCCTTCCCCCATTTCCATTTTTTGGCTCTTGTTCATTTCTCGCGTGGCCAAAGCAGAGAATCCTGTTCCTCAAGTCTTTCTTTGCTCCGAACGGATTCAACGCTTGCTACACAGGCTACACAGGAGACTAGGAGTTGACTTTTCATTTAGGTGGTCCATGTTAGACTCTTGGCTAAGGTATTTTTTTTCTTTACCAGAGCTGTCTCTAGATTACAGGTCCATTTTGCAGAAAATATGAGAAGAAATGCTTAAAAAACGTTAGCCATTTGTTTGCTTATGGATTCTTTTAATGCACATATATCGATCACAGAGGTATTTTCCAGAATGCTGAAGGCCTGCTTAATGCCAAATGACTCTGATGTTTAGTGATTAGGGTTAGGAAACAGTGTGAATCAGGTTCCATTGAAGGTCCTAGTACCTGGGTAAAGTTGCCTCAAGAAACTGCATCACCAAAATGTGTAAACTCTTCACAGATCTTGCCTCATAAACTTAACCAAAATTAGTATTCACCAAATCAGTGGATAGCAATCTTCATGCGTTCTGATTGGCTCCTGTAACCCGGAATATCCTTGGATATTCACTGTTTTGGGATGGGATTCATGAAACAAAAGATGAAATTTTTGTGGTAAATGAAGCAGCTGTACATGTAGTGCTTTTCCTCTACCCTTTTTGCAGTCTGAAGGGTGGCAAGATGAGAAGTGTGTATATTGAAAAGTTTCAGTAGGCTTGAAATGTGTTTGCAAGTGAAGTATTTTATGAGTTGAAATGCGAGGTCCCTTAAAAACCTCAGTATCAAGAAAAACAGTGCATTTGGATGATATTTCACAAGTAAACTTGATATTTGTAGGGTGGAATGTGTTTTTTTTAATTTATTTAATTTCTAATTTCAGCTAAATTTAGATCACACAAAACGTATACATAATTATTACAACTTGACAAAACAAACATAAAAATAGCTGAGGTTACATTTATGCTTGAATTTGCTTAGTTACTTGCAATAAAAGGAAAGGACGGTGAACGGTGGACGGTGGATGGCTCAACTTTGCAGGACACATGGCTAAGTCAAAGCGATTAGCTAGAGGGTAACAAGTGCAAGCAACAAATTTAAATAAGAAAAAATTTCCATTTGTGTGAAAAGACGGGGAAAGAATTACAGCGGAGTGCTTCTTGTTTTTCCATCTCAATGACGGAATTTAGTTTGCCCTTAAAAAGAGTCATGGAGGGAGACGTACCTGCAAGTTTGCTCGAGTATATATGATATCTCCCAATAAGAAGAACGAGATCAATGGCGGTAGAGGGTGCAAATTTAGGAGAGTCGCATCAGATGCAAATCGGGTAGTGCAGTACTCTTGAGGCGCTTTTGAATTAAAAATTGTTTAACATCGTTCCAAAAAGCAATTGTTGCCGAACATCTCAGAAATAGATGAGATATAGACTCTATTTCCCTTTGGCAAAAAGAGCATTTGTCCGATTGCTTTAAATTAATTTTCTTTAAAAAATCATTGGTAGCAATCCTCCGATGCAAAAACTTATATTGAAAAGTTCTTAATTCTGTAGAAGCCGTACAGTGGAAAGCAACTGTGTATGCATCTTTCCAATAAATATCACTTGCATTTTCAACTTGAAGGTCACTGAGCCACTTCTCTTGGCTTCTAATGGGTGTAGAGATTCTTTTTCTCAGTAGCGACTTATAAATAAAGTTGTTAACTTTACTTTTAGATGTCAATTCAGTTATAGATGTTCCCTCGGGTGGAATGTGTTAGTGAAGTCAACAAAATTGTAAACTTCTTTGGTTGAAATGTCCCACAGTGAAAAGATATCATCAACAAATCTCTTCCAAACCAAAGGTTTATAGGGGTGAGTGATTAGCGGTCGTTTATCTATGTCTGCCATAAAATCAACAGAGAAAGCAACTGCCCTCTCATAGTTCCCATTGCAACGCCTTGTGTTTGTATGAAGTGTCTTTTGTTAAAATAATGAAATAATCCTCTTCGAGTATGAGCCGTAAAAGTTCCCGTAATCGTTTGTGGGAATTGGCGAATTATGCTCATAGTGCTTTTCATAATGAGGGCAAATTTTTTTAAGCATCAGTACCCTTTGTTTGAGGGATGTTTGTTTAGAGATAACTCACATCTAGAGTGACTAAAACCACATCATTAGAGATTTGCGTGTTTTCAATAAACTTGATGAAATCGGTAGTGTCTATCAAATATGACTCCTGTTTTTGTGCGATAGGTTGGACGGCTGTAATAGTGAGTCAATGAAACTGGAGATAATAGTGCTCAGTTGGGCCGCGCTACTACCAGAAATGACTGGTCTGCAGCTGACTGGTATTTTCTTATGGATTTTTGTCAGTGTGTAAAATTCTGGTATGCGTGATTGGTTAAGGCTGATTGTTAACCATTTGAGTCATTGTGTCTATATTGCCTGGAAGGGATAGTTCGTTGACTATTCGATTCACTTTTTGGGCAGTGTTTAGCACAATAGGATTTGTAAGGGGCTTGTAGAATTTATCATCAGATAATTGTTGTGAGCCTTCGTCTATTTTTGTGACGGTGTTCATAGTTCATAGTGTAGTTGTTCCTTTATCAGCTTTTTTAAGATTGATTTTGCTATTACATTTCAAGTGAGCCGATAGCTTTTCTCTTGTTCGCTGAGATATTACAATCATTATGTATCTAAAGGAGCATAGTGAAATAATATTATTGAAATCCTTTAATAAGGATTTATTGGAGCTAGGAACAGGAGGGGCTGGTATAAATTTTATGACCTTTAAGTGTGGAGAGCGTTTCTTATTTATCTGACCCTTTTTAATATAATTATCGACTTTTTATGAAATCCTTTGAGTCAAGAAAAGACACACCAGTACACTGTTGAACTTGTTTATTTACATTGACTGCTTCACTGTCTTTACAAAACATTTTCTGTAGCTCAGATAGTTGAGCTTGCATGGAGGCGATATTACAAGTTTGCTGAACTTTCTTAGGTGCAGTTTTCTACGTCCTGGACCTGGGTCTGGCTCTGTTAGGGGTGATAAAATTAATGGTCCATGAAAATTTTTAACTGCTTGCAAAATTTAAACGAGTGCTCGCTTGCTCGTGCTCCCCAAATTTTTGCAGTTGCTCGCAAGCTCACTTTCTTGTTCAGTATATTGCTTGAAATTTTGTAAATCCTTGTTTGGGTTAAAGTAAATGTAATTCTGTATGGTGCTTATTTCCTATAAATATGGCTATCAAGTTCAGTGGAAATGCACACGATAAATGACAATGATAAATAATAAATTAGCTAATCTAGCTTATATGGTTATTTATGGTTGTTCTTCTTGTGACCTTTGCTTTCTAATCTGTACAAACATAAGCGTGATGAAGTGAAGCGAAAATGTGACGTCATTTGGCATCAAACGCGACTGTAATTGGTTAGACCTCGATAAGGTGTCATTCAAACTAGCTTCAAAGGAACTTGGTGCCCAGATAAATTAAAACCCTGTTTTAAAATATTTTCTGTTTTATTTTAAAGAAAAGGATTTCCATATGGATACTGAAAGCGGAAAATATAAGAAGTGCTTGCTGCTCGCGAGTTGTACTCTCTAAACTGCTTGCTGCTCGCAAAGGAAAATTAATTTTTTATCTCTGCTTGTGCTCGCAAAAAAATCTCAGTGCTTGGCATGCTCGCGAATGCTCGTAAAGAACAATTTGTCACCCCCTCTGTTGGCAGCAAAGTTTCTGGTTGCCTGGGAACTCTGCTGACCAGTGTGGATACAGGTCTTGTAGTAACTGCTGTTGGGCCTGGATAGCCTCATTGTTAGCTGTTACGTGTACAATGTACATGTAAGTTCTTTTTCTGCTGTTTTATCATCAGCATTAATAGTTCCGCTTGGGCTAGGCGACCGATCTGGTCCAAGGTGGGCTGGAATTCTCTGTTGAACTGTACAACATACATAATTATGGGGTCTCAACCTGTATTGTAAACCATAGGGGCACGTAGAGTTCTTTGCGTGTTCCCTCAGGGCTTGTAATGACCTTTTGCATTTGGCTCGTCTGGTTTTCAGCGTAAGAAGTCGATTGCAGATGGTTTTGGTGCCCTCTGTCTGATATGTTTTTGGTTTCTTGGAGGCTGGAGCCCTGTGAGTCTGGAATCACTGTTTCTGGACTGTCAAGATCATGTGATCACTTGGATGACTTGATCGGTGATATTGTGGGAGCACTGCTATCCACCATACTGCTTAAAATGGCAATCATCTCCTGGATGGTCAGAAGCTGTTTGTTGTTGTGCCATGGTAGACTTCCAAATAGAACTCTTTGACGCTAGACCAGTTTCGGAACCAAAATGTTGGCTCCTTTGTCAGTTGCTTTTATAGCTTTTTCCGAAGAGCTCAGGAAGAGAGCTTGTATACTTTAGCTAAAACTCAGATTTCAGATTTTGATTCCTCATGGAGAGAGTTCATAACCACAAAGTCAGTTGTGGTATGTGCGTAGAATGTGCATAATGTCAGTTGTGGAATGTGCATGGATTTGGATTGCTACCACCCCAAATGTCTGGTTGCTATAACTTCTTTCCCTGGGAATATACTCTAGAGACTGAGTGTGGAAGACCTTGTAAGTTTGTGCCTTTTATAACCCGAATGAAGGAGACGCCATAAGTTTAGAAAACTTTGAGAGATCACTGCAACAGATTGGTTGCAATAGTCCTCATCACATAATTATCTGGATAGCAAGAGACATAAACTTCCTGTATTTGACTGGAAGCACAATTGCCTATTTCCAATGTGTCATTTCCCAGAGCTAACCTGAAAATTATTGCTGATTGTTTTGACGATCATGGCTTAGTCTAACTTATAACCAATCTTTCATGGGGGTAATTAATGTCTTAGACTTGTTTATAACTAACGACAGTCTTATCATCACGACTCAAGTTATCCGAGGTATTAGTGATCATGATGCTGTGTTTGTTGAGGGTATAAATATCAAAGCAACACTCAACAAACAAAAATGCAGGATGGTTGCCTTGTATAGAAAAACATAATGGTATGCCTTAAAGAACACATGTAGACTCTGTCGTGCATTCTACTGCCTGTGATCTGTCAATAAATGGTTATTAGTGGTCTAGTTTTCGAGAGAAATTGACTTCTGGTATCAAGCGATTTATACCACATACAAGCACAAGAAAATCTGTGCGATAGGGTCGTCGACCATACCCCTAACTGTACACCATCTATGTATGCCACCCATTTCAATTACAACTGCTGGTATCGTAAAGCTATTATACACAAACTAAAGCCATACAAGGCCTGATGGTCATTCTCTCATAGTCCTCTGGGATCTCTCTCCTCGGTAATAGATAATCCCTATCATCCCACCAAGTACCAGAGGACTGGAAAAAAGCCTTGGTATCACCCATCTTTAAGAAAGGAGATAGTGACAATCTGGCAAACTGCAGACTTTCCCTGTATCTGCAGTGTTCAATGATTCATTTTGTTTGTTTTATGGACTATTGTCAGGATTAGGTTCATTGTTAAGGATGTTTTGTTTTCTTTGATTAAGTCAGCTGGGAGTAATAAAAAATTACATTACATGAGAAATCTTGGAGCCCATAACTTCCACTGGGTACAATGAAAGGCTGATAGTGTTTATTTTGTCTGTGAAAAAAACAATGTTTAAAATGTTTACAGTTGGTGAAATGGCAACCAATTCTCCTCATGCAAATGCAGAAACTGCAACTCTACAAAGCTGTCAAAAACAGACTTTGCATCAGTTTTCAAGACATCTGCTGTTAGCCTTAATCTATTCTTTAAATGTGCTGAAAGGTGTTAAAGTAGGGAAAGTTCTAACAGAAGTTGAAACATGTTAATTTAATTTTTGTCAATCTGATTTTCTTTCAGTAATGGACTGCTTTGTGTCACAGATCGTGGAATCTTGATGAAGAGGAATAGCATGGCAACCTGAGAGACAATGTAATACGATCAGAAAACAAGATCAGCAAGAAAAAGCAGCCCTGGCGACAAGGTAAAAAACTCTTCAATTGTTTTTTCTTTTACAGTAATACAGTGTATTTACCAGTATATGTGACATACTATATTTAGTTGATTCAGGTGACTCCAACTTAATTATCAGCAAATTAATTTTTAGTATTTTTCTAACCTGTTTGCATCGCATCAAAAATTATTTATTTATCAGATAATACGTTATCTACACACAAACATGTAAAGTGATTAACTAATGAAATTCAAATAATCAAATTCCCTCCTCCCCAGGACGGGAAAGGTGTGAAATGCCTGGGATATGCCTGGGGGAGGGGGAGGGGGGGGGTTCGGTTGAAGCTTAGATTTGACTGATGCAATGTAGATACATGTAACTGAGATAAACAGTTTCCCCTTAAGCATAAACTCTATTTCGGAATTTGATTCTTCGTTGAGAGAGTTTATAATGTCAGTTGTGAAATGTCTGTAGAATGGGCTTAATGTCAGTTGTGGAATGTGCATGGATTTGGATTGCTACCACCCCAAATGTTGGGTTGCTATAACTTCTTTCCCTGGGAATATACTTTAGAGACTGAGTGTAAGATCCTCTGGGTTAATATCAACATATTGTACATGTAGTGGGGTGTAAGACCTTGTAAGTTTGTGCCTTTTATAACCCGAATGAAGGACACGCCATACATTCTGTATCCCTAGTGATATGTGTTCTCCTACTTGGGAAACACATACATTAGTCCCTAGTAATATGTGTCCTTTGCCTGGGAAACCCATATCCCTAGTGATATGTGTTCCCCTACCTGCGAAACACATATATCCCTAGTGATATGTGTTCCCCTACCTGGGAACCACAATACCCTACTGATATGTGTTCCTCTACCTAGGAAACACATATCCCTAGTGATATGTGTTCCCCTACCTGGGAAACACAAATCCCTAGTGAAATGTGTTCCCCTACCTGGGAAATAGAAAACCCTAGTGATATTTGTTCTTCTACCTAGGAAACACATATCCCTAGTGATATGTGTTCCCCTACCTGGGAAACACAAAACCCTAGTGATATGTGTTCCCCTACCTGGGAAACATATATCCCTAGTGATATGTGTTCCCCTACCTGGGAAACACATATCCCTAGTGATATGTGTTCCCCTACCTGGGAAACACAAAACCCTAGTGATATGTGTTCCCCTACCTGGGAAACACAAAACCCTAGTGATATGTGTTCCCCTACCTGGGAAACACAAAACCCTAGTGATATGTGTTCTCCTACCTGGGAAACACATATCCCTAGTGATATGTGTTCCCCTACCTGGGAAACACATATCCCTAGTGATATGTGTTCCTCTACCTAGGAAACACATATCCCTAGTGATATGTGTTCCCCTACCTGGGAAACACAAATCCCTAGTGATATGTGTTCCCCTACCTGGGAAATAGAAAACCCTAGTGATATTTGTTCCCCTACCTAGGAAACACATATTCCTAGTGATATGTGTTCCTCTACCTGGGAAACACAAATCCCTAGTGATATGTGTTCCCCTACCTGGGAAACACAAAACCCTAGTGATATGTGTTCCCCCTACCTGGGAAACACATATCCCTAGTGATATGTGTTCTCCTACCCTGGAAACCCGAAACCCTAGTGATATGTGTCCCCCTACCTGGGAAACACAAAACCCTAGTGATATGTGTTCCCCCTACCTGGGAAACACATATCCCTAGTGATATGTGTTCCCCCTACCTGTGAAACACAAAACCCTAGTGATATGTGTTTCCCCTACCTGGGAAACACAAAACCCTAGTGATATGTGTTCCCCTACCTGGGAAACACAAATCCCTAGTGATATGTGTTCCCCTACCTGGGAAACACAAAACCCTAGTGATATGTGTTCCCCTACCTGGGAAACACAAAACCCTAGTGATATGTGTTCCCCTACCTGGGAAACACAAAACCCTAGTGATATGTGTTCCCCCTACCTGTGAAACACAAAACCCTAGTAATATGTGTTTCCCCTACCTGGGAAACACAAAACCCTAGGGATAATGTGTTTCCCTTTGTGGGAAACACAAAACCTTAGTGATATGTGTTCCCCTACCTGGGAAACACAAAACCCTAGTGATATGTGTTCCCGTACCTGGGAAACACAAAACCGTAGTGATATGTGTTCCCCCTACCTGGGAAACACAAAACCCTAGTGATATGTGTTCCCCCTACGTGGGAAACACAAAACCCTAGTGATATGTGTTCCCCCTACCTGGGAAACACAAAACCCTAGTGATAGGTGTTCCCCCTACCTGGGAAACACAAAACCCTACTCATATGTGTTCCTCTACCTAGGAAACACATATCCCTAGTGATATGTGTTCCCCTACCTGGGAAACACAAAACCCTAGTGATATGTGGTCCCCCACCTGGGAAACACAAAATCCTAGTGATATGTGTTCCCCCTACCTGGGAAACACAAAACCTTAGTGATATGTGTTCCCCTACCTGGCAAACACATACAGGGCTGTAAGTTTAGAAATCTTTGAGAGATCACTCCAACAGATTGGTGGCTATACCTCCTCACATAATTATCTGGATGAGACATAAACTTCCCTGGATTTGAGTGGAAGCACAATTGCTTTTTTCCAGTTTGTCCTTTCCCTGAGCTAACGTGAAAATTCGCTTGTTGTCTTGACAATCATGGCTTAGTTTAACTTATAACCAATCTTTCGTGGGGGTAATTAATGTCTTAGACCTGTTTTTAACTAATGACAATCTTATCATGAAGAGTCAAGTCAACCGAGGTATTAGTGATCATGATGCTGTGTTTGTTGAGGGTATAAATATCAAAACAACGCTCAACAAACAAAAACGCAGGATGGTTGCCTTTTATAGAAAAACAGACTGGGATGCCTTAAAGAACATGTGTAGACTCTTTCGTGCATTCTATTGCCTGTGATCGGTCAATAAATGATAATTTGTCCTCTAGTTTTTCAAAACCAGCATCAGTGTGCAAGACAACTTCTGTTAGCCTTAATCTATTCTTTAAATGGAATGAAATGTGTAAAAGTAGGGAAAGTTCTAACAGAAGTTGAAACATGTTAATTTGGTTTTTGTCAATCTGATTTCTTTCAGTAATGGACTGCTTTGTGTCACAGATTTTGGAATCTTGATTAACAGGAATAGCATGGAAACCTGAGAGACAGTGTAATACGATAAGATAACAAGATCAGCAAGAAGACGCAGCCCTAGGCACAAGGTAAAAAACTCTTCAAGTGTTTTTTCTTTTACAGTAATACAGTGTATTTACCAGTATGTGTGAAATACCATATTTATTTGATTCAGGTGACTTCAACTTAATTATAAGCAAATTTTGGTATTTTTCTAACTTGTTTGCGTCACGTCAACTTATTTGTCAGATAATTCTTTATTTGTTTTATAATGTTATTATATACTCACAAACATGCAGATTGTTATTGTTTGAATGGTTTTTAACTGACAAACTGACACTTTGATTATTTAACTGACTGTCTAACAGTTTAAGGTGGCTCCGTAATTAATACTAGAGCATTTTGCTGTGACAAATTTTCCGTCATAACTTTTTGGTTCTTAACGCGATGGCTGCCAAACTTTGCAAAGAACAACATATATTATTCGGCAATAATACGAAATATTCCGATTTCATTGATGGTAAATATTTCTTGAGAAATTAGCGTTTAAAAGGACCCTACTGTTCGAAGAAAATTGCGTCTAGTAAAAAAATTGGCTGATATTTTTTACTGAAATTTCTGGTATCGGCTTTAATTGATATAATAAATATGCCAGAGGAATTTCAGAAAAATCGTTAGAGGGGAAGTCCGTAACTAAACGTCGCTCAAAATTCAGCTGTGAAATTGTTTTGGAATTTCAAAAATAAATTACTACCAGGAAGAAGGAGCCACCAGTTTGAATTTTCGGGACAAGTAAATTCAACGTTTGCTAATTCTTAAAGCAAAAGCCGATTGCCTATCGTGCTATTCTTTAAAAGGTACTTTTTAGTTTTAGAAGCACCATAAATTGCTCCAAACCTTGCTCTGAAGTAGAATGACTTGTTCTTCGACATTTTTAAAATATCCCTTTGCAGTTTTGGCTCAAACTCCCGCTGCATACGTTTTGATGTATTGCAATGCATTTTCAACGACTTTTGCTGCTGTTCGTTGCTTCCAACTCAGGGAAAAGTATTGATATTGGACGCTACCTCGTATCAGAACTCAGATAGAACTCTCCAGCACCTTTGTTTATGAATACAAAATGAGCACGAGCGGCAGTTCTGCGAGGAATTCGCACCTCACCCAGGGGGGACGAACGACAATGATGACCATGCCTGTGAACCGAATAACATCACAGTACAAAATAAAATTATCGCAAAAATACTGCCCGTGAATAAATTTACAACTCTGAAATTGTTGTCACTTCTTCCTTCAATGAATGGGTATTTTTTTCTTGATTATTATGTTTTGCTCTGCAATACATGTTTATACAGATCCGTTCACAGACTCATTCGTCCCCCCTGGCTGAGGTGCGAATTCCTCGCAGAGCTGCCGCTCGTGCTCATTTTCTGGTCATAAACAAAGGTGCTGGACAGTTCTATCTGAGCTTCGATACAAGGTAGCTTACAATCCCAATACCTTTTTCCTGAATTGTAAACAACGTACAGCAGGAAAAGCCGTTGAGGATGCATTGCAATACATCAAAATGTATGTAATTGCAAAGGGATATTTTAAAAATGTCGAGGAACAAGTCATTCGACTTCAGAGCAAGGTTTGGAGCAATTTATAGTGCTTCTAAAACTGAAAAGTACCTTTTAAAGAATAGCACGATAGGCAATCAGCTTTTGTTTTCAGAA